AAAAAAAAAAAAAAAGCCAAAGACCAAAACCCTCACAAAACACGGTTTAGTTGCCATGGGAAACTGGGTTACAAAGATTGAATTGAGATTATTCCCGACAACTTTATGCAGCAACCTCACACCAATCACTTTTCCATTTTAAGTAGCAGAAACTCCTATGCATAAGCTTCAGTGCATTTTCTCAAGACCTGAATTACAGGAGTGGGAGAGCACCAGAATAATCTCATCACAAGAAAAGGAATCCAGGAACCCGCCCATGCACTGTTTCCAGTGTTTACACATACTATTCATGCACTCAGTAATAACTGGAACTTGGCTTCTAGATTATACACAGAACTAAAGATGGCACGTGGATCCAAGCTTCAAAAACAGTCTGCAGGAGAAAAGTGGCACTGTGTGCCTGTGAGGAACACATCCTCAAGTGTGCAGCTACCACAAGGCAAGGGTGAACCAGCTGGTTGGTTGATTGATCAGTTGGTTGGTTGTCTGGTTGTCTGGTTGGTTGACTGGCTGGCTGGTTGTTTGGTTTAGTCAATTGGTGGGTGGATTGGTTGGCTGGCTGGTTGTTTAGTTGATCAATTGGTGGACTGGTTGGCTGGCTGACTGGTTCGTTGGTTGGCTGACTCACTGGTTGATCAGTTGGTGGGTTAGTTAGTTGGTTGTTTGGTCAATTAGTAGGTTGACTGGTTGGTTGACTGGTTGGCTTGCTGATTTGTACATTTATTCTGATACAGAATTTCAGTAAGTAGTCCAAGTTGCGGCTCAGTTCACTATGGAATTCAGCCTGTCCTGGAACTCAACAATTGTTCTGCCTTAGCCTCCTGAGTATTCCTGCACCTAGCCAAAAGAATGAGTTTCTTAAATGTATGCTTCTTGGCCTATTGTATGTCAATAATATATTGGAGAAGGAAAAGGTACCTAGTATTCGAGACATAATTCTCCCCTGATGTTTGGCAGCATCCAATTTTCTCATTTCACAAAAATCAAAACTGATACAGAAAATGCCAAGCTACCCACAAATAAGACAAAGAAAATTTAACACACCTTTACAGTTATAACTTGTTAAGCATCATCTGTGAAGAAATACAAAACCAAACTCTACTCACTGTTTTAACTCATCAAGCAGATAAAAATTCAAGGTTTTAACATTCCTGTCCAATTGATCTGAAAAAATGACTAAACCTTTCAATTAAAAAAAATAAATTTGATTTGGTAGGATCAAAACCACTGAGATATCCCACCGTGCCCTAAATCTTTTAAACATTAGCAAAAGAATGTAATGTAATTCCAAAATTAAAAAAGGTCAGCTAGACAAGAAAACAACTTACAAATGCTTTTATAGAAAAAAAAAATTCTACATCTGTATTTAAGAGCAGCAAAAGTCTTTTACTAAATAAATCACTGATCTTTCTTTAAGTAAATACTATGCTAGGTTTAAGTTAAAAACAAGAAAATAAAAATGTGGGAAGGGCAGAACTTCAGTAGAAAAAAAATATCCTCTATACAGTAGCAAAACAAAAATTTTAAGCAAAAAAACATGTTCAGATGTAACTTGTGTCAAGCTGGAATGTTTTAATGAACTGAGCTTCAAGTGAGATAAAATAAAAGCAGCATGTTTGACTTAGTGTCTTGAGAACTTCCCCTTGTATTAGAGCAAGCTAGAAGTTGGATTGCAACACACTGAGTCAACTAAGTACTTCCTTGGAAAATTCTTCCCAAAAGTTATTTAGGGCAAAAAGAAAAACCCTTTTTGAAAGTGGGGTTAGCACTGAAAATTACTTTACCTCAAGTATTGATGGGCACTGTACTAGCTGGACTGAGGCATGAGGAGAAACTTGGTAAAGAGCAACAAGAAAGCAAGGCCCTCTGGGCAGAAGGGTGCCTTCTCTGTAGGGAAGTGAAGACAGACACCAGGCAGTGCCATTTACGTCAGTAAATATGCCATTCTTTTTCCATGCATGGCTTCCCTTGGTTCTCCCCCTGGGCTGCTATACTGGCCTTCCTCCCTCAGGAGCTCTCTGACTCCAGAAACACAAGGATGGAGTTTTGTTAAAAACCATCTTGATGTGAGTCAAATCCTACTTGCTTAGCTACAATTGAAACTCAATTTCTTCTTGTTTTTCCTCTTAACATTCAAGAGCAAGGAACAGTCTTACCTACACTCACTTACATCTTAATACATATAAGATTACTCTTTAATGTGTGATTTCACTGGGACATCACATATGTAAATGCACACATGTGTATGTGCAAGTGGATACGTACCCTTAGAGCTTAGTCAATAATGGGTAAGAACACAGAAAATAGCAGCAGCAAGGTGACGCCAAACAGGGACGTGCAAATGAAGATGGTCGTGGGTCACAAGCCCTCGGGAAGTAGAATAATGTTCAAACTTTGAAATAAAAGACATAGGCCCTAGCGACACCAACTGGTCTAGTTTCTGGGGAAGATACCTATCCCAGCATACCTGTCTTTGACAAGCAACATAAGGTATTTGTCATGTCCTATAAAATCTGAGAACCAAAAGTCACAGTGCTCTGATCCATACACAATTGCTCAGGTCACCTTAAAACAGTAATAAACTACTTGTGTCAGGAAAGGCAGATACTCCAAAGGCATTGGTGTCTCTGGCTGAGGTCCTGTGCACCTCAAAACTGCTGGTCCCGAGGGAGCACTCCATCAAGACAACAGGCTGATACAATCTCTGTGAGTTCTTACTCCTTCGGCACTGTATCTAGAAAGTGATTTCCTTGAAGTCTCCCACCCCCTCAGCCTGCACAAGAACCTTCCTAAACTCTGGGAAGACAGAATGCCAGCAGAGAGGACAGGTGGACATGCAATCCCACCAGCTGGGAAGCAGTTAGTGGTGGGAGAGGAAGGGGCTCTTCTCTATAAGGAGGGCTGCTGGGCTGACCACTCCCGGGACTGGCCAGCCAAACAAAGCAGACTCAGTGGGGAGAGAATGGGTACAGACTAACAGGAAGGTTAGGTGGGAAGGGAGCAGAATGAAGCTTGAAAGTATGTTGCTGAGACTGTCTCGGAGGGCAGAGCACATGGCAGCAAGAATCCCAGGGCTCTCTGATGTTCCCATCTCAGAGGAAAAGCGGACAGCACGGTCTGGCTACACTCGTGTTTAGAGTACCCGATGGGAAGACTGTACAGTCCCAGTGTGAGTCTGAGCTGTGTGTCTCCTCAGCGGACTTGGCTCTCTTGTGCTGGGTGAGGAATTTACCAGAGCATGAGTGAGGAGAGAGGACCGTGGGTGGACACACCCACACAGCAGCTCATGGGAACAAATGTATGGTATCTGAACAGAGACTTGTTATCCAGGATATGACAAATTCAATGTCATTATGTAGGCCATTTGATTAATTCCCAGCTCTTTTTGTCAACTCACAATGGAGCACACTGGAACTTTAAAGTTCAACTGTGACAACAGTCGATAAGCAGATACAACAAGCAGGTCTCAGACAACTTCCTTCAAAAATGTCATTTACAAAGAATATTACAAGAACACATATGGTTTATTACCTCATTAACTACCAGTGCTGAGAATGATACAAACATGTTTGTTGAAGAAGAAACACTGAGGAGCTGGAGAGATGGCTCAGCAGTTAAGAACACCTGCTGCTCTTGCAGAGGACCTGGGTTCAACTCTCAGCTCCCACATATCTGTAACTCCAGTTTTAGGAGATCTGTGGCTATCTTTTGGTAAATTCCATACCAATTATACTATATATCACTGATAGGACATGATCATAATCTGTTACTGCTTAATTACACACAAATCTATTTAGCTAATTTTTTAAAAAGTATATAAATTTTCCAAATTTGTTTAATAACTTAATATTTTTCCTCTAACAGAGGTGAAACTGCATCAGTGGTAAAGACACTAGGCAATTAATTATACAGTATTCTGCATTAGACTTCACCTGCCGATAGCCTCAGATAGTTTGAATCTCACAGATATATGACACAGTGTTTAGTGTGACTCTGTAATCAGTGAGTGCACTCTCAATGCCCACATACTCCAATAGAGGATTATGCACCAAATGAGGTGTGGCTTGGATCTGAACTGTCCCACAAAGCCTCCTATGTTAAAACCTTGGTGTCAGATGATAAGACCTTCTGGAAAATAATTGATCATATGGCTCTAACCTCTCAGTATTTTGGGGAAGCAGTTGGAAGAAGTAGGTCCCTGGGGACATGTCCTTCTAATACTCCTCCTTTCCCTCAGAGTTCCTGGGATGTCGTAAATTAGACATCTCTGCTACACACAGTCCATCATGATACTCAGCTTTATCTCAGGTCCAAAGCAAGGAGTCAACAGACTGAGTGAAAACCTCCAAAACCATGAGGCAAAAATCAACCCTTCCTCCCAGAGGGTGTGTAGAGCCATTGGCCATGACAGTGGGGAGGGCTGACAAACACATACAGCTATATGAGGGGTCTATGACCTGTGTGTGGTTCTAGATGCCCAACAGTAAAGCATTCTTTGGGGTTTGCGAAGTTAGCAGAACCTCCCAAACCTGCCTACCTTATACTCATCCACAATAATGCTCAGCGCCTCGTGCCCAGCCTTCCTCATGTCTTCCAATTCTTGCTTATGCTTCTCCTGGAAGGAAGAAAGAAGGGGAATCTATAATTTGTTCTTCAGGTTTTATTCCACAATAGTAATAAACTGATAACGTTTCCTTCTACACCACAGTGGCATGCAGAACACTGAGTCCACAGGTGACATTGAGAAGAAAATGCATGTGTTGGCTCGTTTTGTTGGATAAAAGTTCACCTAAAGCATGGGCAAGCAGACAGGCAAGGAGGCATTTGTGAGGCAAAGGCAGATGGTTCTCTGGGAGTCTGAAGCCAGACTGGTCTACGTAGTGAAAGCCAGGCAGGTCAGGGCCCAACAGTGAGATTCTGTCTCAAAACTAAAACATACATGGAAGTATTCGAGTATTACTCTCCAATAAACATTTTTGTTCTCTGCATAAAGATCAGTAGTATGTGGACTTTTATGTCATCCATTATTCCTTCTGATGAAAATAAGACACCTTAACCACAATTCGTAACCCTGTAACACCCATTCTTCAGTTCTTTATGGCCAGAAAGGTCCCAGTGTAAGTGCCACAGAGTGCGGGCTTCTGGATGGTATCAGAACACAGGCATTCCCACGTCACAGAGCACCCGGGCCCAACTCCCAAGTCACCGGGCCACCCTTTGCTTCACAGGCGGAGGGGATGGGGTTCAAAGAATAGCTGCTGAGTAGCTGCATTTGTAAATGAGGAGCTGTAAAATCAACAGCAACGCTTCCATAAACATCATAACCCAATCCAACTAAGGTTCATTCCTCAATGCCCAAGCATTGAGTGACCTTTCCATCCACACGCTTCTAGGCTCTGCCACTGCCACGCCCACTGAAACTGGTACCAGTTCCTTCTAATAAATTCATGCAGGCACACCAAGCGTACTCTCAGACACATGGATGGCACACGGGCATCCTTTGATTGATAGATTGATAAGGCATAAGAAACAAAGACACCGTGAGGGCCAATCAAACATGACATTCTACCTAATTCTTCTGAATACTTTAGCAGGACTCAGTCTAGAAGTAGCCCACGGGAACTGGATTTGTTGGTGTCCTCTGACTAAGACACTTTTCCGACGCTGGCTTCACCAGCGCTTTCTCTGAAGCCACAGGTCATAGCTAATCAACCCTGGAAAAGGCAGCACAGGCACCTTCATACAACACAGAAGGAAATGAGTTCAGTGAGAGCTCAAAACGAGGGACAGTGGGAGGCTCAGCCCAAGGCTCTGAGGAAGCTGTCCTGCCATGCTCCGGGGAAGCACCCAGGTTGGCCTACTGTCAAACAGCATGGAAAGCTCACATGTTACGCACAATCAAACAACACTGCCTGCATGGTTCTCATCGACTGTGCACAAGACATTCCTTCAGGGTCTTTGTTTTAGAGACAGGGTCTCCTTCAACAGCCTAACGCGGACACACCACCTGGTCTCCCAGGCTGGTTTCAAACTGCCTGGCAAGTGCTGGGATTCAGGCTTGAGCCACCACACTCAGCTTTCTTCTGACAATGGCATCAGGTCTGGCTGAGCCCACAGGCTTCCCACTCCTTGCAGAGAATGTAGGTATGTGCTGTAAGGTGCCTGGCATACTTTGGGTTTCTTCATACACTTGGTGACAAGTGATATCATGTGACAAAAACCTGGGAATCTTCCCATGGGTCTCAAAACCTCATTTTTAGACAAATATTAAATGGAGAGAAATAACAGATTCAAGGATCGGTTTAGAAGTATCAGGCAGAGCTACAAGGAGAAGCAAAGATGCTCTGTAAGCCTGTCACAGCACTTACGTTTGTGACCTCGGTGAGGACTGTCCCCTCAGCTTGCGGTGGCACTATGGCTGCCTCCACACACTGCCTACACTTCATCCTCAAGCTTCGAAGGGCCCTGCTGAGTCCTGCCAACCACAAGGAGATTAAAACAAACTCCTCTAGAACTTTAACAAATAAAAGATGGAGTCGTGCGGAGAACCCCAAATCTCCTCACAGAGGCGCAGAAGGAAGCAGCTCGTTTCCCTGCATGCTAATTTACAACGGTTTTCATTTAGACAGGACAAACTCATATCCACATCTAAACCAAAACTGTAAGGAGTTAATAAGTCGGGAAATGGGGAACGAAGATGAGAATATCCACTCTTGTGGAATTCATTCAGGGTGGAGCCTCTTTCTCCCTCCTTAAGCACAGAGGCTCATCTGTGCATGTGCAGGCTCTGCGGTGTGAACAACTCCATTAAATTCTTCAAGGATGATTCCTTGAGAAGAAAGGCTTAGGGCTGATTCAAGCCCGGCAGAGGTGGGGAAATGGGGAGGGATGAAGAGGGAAGAAAGACGACGACGAGACAGAGCGGGAAGCAGTGAAGTCACCACGGTCTGAGGAAAGCTGTGCCTCCCTCCCGGTGCAGGGATGACTGATCACCTTCAGTCCTCCCTGTCCAGGGGATCAGAGGGAGGGTGGTGTTTAGTCAACAGACAGCAGAGACAAGAATCCCCAGGCATCGAGGTAAAGTGTAGGTTGTAGAAGTATGAGGCCGGAGTTCAAGTCCCAGCACTTTGTACTGGAGTGTTCCCACAGGACAATCAGTCTCAAGATCAGAGTGTGATTTAGGAAGACGTCAGACATCAGCCTCTGCCCTATTCACACAAGTGCACATACACAAAGAAAAAATACCTGTGCACATAACACATCTAAAAGCATCATTCTGGATACAAACATCTCTACAAATGTTGTAATGTTGTTTGGCGTCTACACACCCTGTAGTTTAAACCCAGTGGCAAGGGCATACTCTTGACAGTTTCTCCAAATAGTTAACCGTCTGGTCATTAGAAAGTAGCTGAGCAAGAAAAAAGAAAAAAATCACTTCCTCATTCTTTGGCCACTTGTCTGTATTTGGGTGTTTCTGTCCACAATACAATATTATCATTTGGTTTCATGTATTCCAACACTGTAAAATCCCAGCTTTCATACTTGTAGTGAATGATCCCATCCCCCAAAGACTTGGGTTCAAGTCATCATTCTTGTATCTTCCAGTGTAGCGATACCTGGACGATGGTAAGATGTGACCATCTTGGAGTTAGTATGAACCCCAAATGCAGCAGCCCCTGGGACCCTTGCTAGGGAAAGGGAAGAAACATGGAACAGAGACACTGAGAGGCAGGGAAGACAAAGTGGAGAACAGTCACACTGTAGCAAGCCAACACTGAGCACCACCCTTACAAGGGAGGCATCAACAAGACCTGAGGTTACAGGGGCAGCTTTAGAAGGACTGCATGGGTGAGGCGTGGGAGAACAGCCGGGTGCAAGAGAAAGGAGACTGCACCACTCGCAGGAGCTCCGTGTGGTAATAGGGACATTTCCCTAAAGTGACAACGAGAAAGTCTGAAGGAGGAAAGACCATTGTGGGAAAGGCCTGGTTTTAAAGTGAAAACCACTCAACAAACAGAATGCTAACAGTATGTGTTGGGAGGTCACAGAGGAAAATGAAGAGCATTATTTGAAAAATAATAGAGTGGGGGACATTTTACATGAATTGTAATCTATTACCAGGAAGAGAACAATTAATAAGCAATGTGTTTCCGTGTGTGTGTGTGTGTGATGTGTTTCCATATATATATATATATATATATATATATATATATATATATAT